CCAATCTTGTACCTATCCTTTAAGTGTTAAAGGGAAAATCAGCCTGTATAATTGGATTGCAGTGGTAAGCTGCACTTGCTGATCCATTTGTGCAGTATTTCCTATATTTAGAGTGTGCAATTTGTGAATTATAGTCAGACAGCTAGGTTGTAAATTCATTTACAAATATAATAAGAGTCTTTAAGAAACACAATAGAAACAGCTCATTAAGGAAATTCTTCCCTAAGAATAAACAAACTTTGCATCTCTTAGGCTTCTCTGCTCTGGTTGGAGGGCTTATATGTTCTTCCAATAAAAAGAAGATAAAAGAAGCATCTGTTTCCTAGTCAGAATGTTGACAGCATAACAGTGTAAGAATACAAATACAACAAGAACTGCAGATGCTGGGTCAATCTATCTATCATAATATCTTGTCTCAAAAAGTATTTGATGTACAGTGCTTTGAGAACTGTGTAAGACTAGCAAATAGAGAGAGCAATTTTTTCCTAAAAAAACCTCAAAGACTCAACCCCCCCACCTTCCTTGATGCTTTAGGACTTGATGCTTTAGGTTTCATCTTCATGAATTCCAACATGTCATGTGTTTGCAAGAAAGCATATGAAGTATGTTAACAGATTTTACACCCCTCTGTAAGAGGTATGGCCTAAGCAGTAAATTAATGGGTTTACTAAAGATATGAAATGTTTTAGATAATATTTTCTGCTTGCATTTGCTTAACTGGTGTTTGGAAATATCCATACTAATTGGGACCCCTGGGTGCAACAGTGATACAAATAATAAATATAATGTGAGCATTGATCAAAGTCCCCCTCTTCCCTAGTGCTAAGATTAGAAGTATGAAATGAAAAGAAACACTAGAATGGATTTAAAAAAAAAAATAATATCTACCATAATAAACTTCTACATTCTTATGCAGCAAATTTGTAAAGGTATTTTAATGCTCAGCGAAAAGTGCCAAGGCAGATTCAGAGCAACAGCTGAGAGGATGCTATTTTCAGAAGTTTGCCAGTTAGAATCTGCCAATTTTTTCTCTATCTATCTGTCCCTTAGGTCATGACATATTTCCACATCTATTTTTTTTAAGGTACAGCTGATCTTGGGCTGCTACTGATGTTAATCAACATAGCATTAAGAGCCCGTTTCTCCTCTCTCTAAAGGTTGGACTCGATGATCTTAAAGGTCTTTTCCAACCAAAGTGATTCTATGATTCCCACATGCATTGATTACACTGTAAGTAGCCCACAGCTAAATTCAGGTCCCTAGCATGCGGCCTGGGGTGGCCAAGAAAGAGTTGGGAAGGTACTAGGCAACTGCTTACTAAAACTATTCCAGTTCAATTGTATTCTTGACCCAGGCTGAGTCCCTCATACCTGACACTTTCCAAGAACTAGGAAATTAAATGAGAATATTAAGCTTCAAATAACACTAGGATGAAGATCTAAACAGCCAGAGCCCTGGTGTAGATGGGCAGGTCTGGCTGTGTGGCATGAATGACTACTCATCCAGGATCAAAATGGTCCCCTTCTGGTGTAGAGTGGGTGGAAGGAGTGAGACATTTGGATTTTGAGACTGAACAAAGAAGTTTATATGTTGACCTTAGAAACTAATATGGTATTATAAGTTTGCCAGATCCTATGTATTTTTCAGGCCCACAGTCGTGGAAAAGACTATTAACCTTGCTGTTCAGCATCTTCTGAAGAATCCATTATTTTTACTCCCACTGACATGTTTCTTTTGATTCTGAAAGTATGACTGTAAAGAAGCATTTCTTTACCTTTAGAAATTTAAACGCTGGCTCTCAAAACATCCTCCTCAGAGTTACACAAGTGGGAATTGAGTCTGCTTTATTGAAAACAGCTAATAAATGCCAAATTCAGACCCTTTTGCTTCATTTTCTAAAGAAAATCTTCACAGTGTTTGTACACATCATTCTCAACATATGCTTAATAACAAATAATGAGCAACCCACTGGTACTAAAAGACTAGATCCAGACATATGCTATTTTAATATGAAACCATTAAAACTGTCTGTCAAATATGAATGTCAATCATCTTCCAGCATCTGATCTGCAAAATAAAAAGGCATGTTGTTCTGGTTTAACCCTAGCCAGCAGCTAAGCACCACCCAGCCATTCACTCACTCCCATGCGGTGGGATGGGGGAGAGAATCAGAAAAGTAAAAGTGAGAAAACTCATGGATTGGAATAAAGACAGTTTGATAGGGAAAGCAAAAGCCCCACACGCAAGCACAGGAAAGCAAGGAATTCATTCACTGCTTCCTAAGGGCAGGCAGGTGTTCAGCCATCTCCAGGAAAGCAGGGCTCCATCACATGTAATGGTGACTTGGGAAGACAAATGCCATCAGTCTGTGTGACAAACACCAATCAGCCCCCATTCTTCTTCCTCCTTCTTATATACTGAGAATGATGTATTATGGTCTGGAATAGCCCTTTGGCCAGTTGGGGTCAGCTGTCCTGGCTGTGCCCCCTCCCAGCTTCTTGTGCACTTGGCAGAGCAGGGGAAGCTGAAAAGTCCTTGACTGGTGTAAGCACTGCTCAGCAACAACTAAACCATCAGTGAGTTATCAGCAACATTGTCAGCCTAAATCCAAAACAGCACTATGCCGACTACTAGGAAGAAAATTAACTCTATCCCAGCTGAAACCAGGACACATGTTTATAGCAAAAGCGAACTGCTGAGGTTCTTGATTTTGACCATGATATTGGGGGTACTGATGGGCGAAAAGCTGGACATGAGCCAACAATGTGTGCTCACAGCCCAGAAGGCCAACAGAATCCTGGGATGCATCAAAATAAGTGTGTCTAGCAGGTCGGGGGAGGTGGTTCTGCCCCTCTTGTCTGCTCTCATGAGACCCCACCTGAGTCCTGTGTTCAGCTCTGAGGCCCCCAACATAAGAAGGAAATTGACCTGTTGGAGCAAGTCCAGAGGAGAGCCACAAAGATGATCAGAGAGCTGGAACACTTCTCCTATGAAGACAGGGTGAGAGAGCTGGGGTTGTTGAGCCTGGAGAAGAGAAGGCTGCAGGGAGACCTTCTTGTGGCCTTTCAGTACTTAAAGGGGGCCTATAGGAAAGATGGGGACGATCTTTTTAGCAAGACCTGCTATAACACGGCAAGGGGTAACAGTTTTAAACTAAAACAGGGTAGATTTAGACTGGATATATGGAAAGAAAATTTATGGTGAAGGTGGTGAAACACTGGAACGGGTTGCCCAGAGAGGTGGTGGAGGCCCCATCCCTAGAAACATTCAAGGTCTGGTTGGAGGAGCAACCTGATCTAGTTAGTGGTGTCCCTGCTCACTGCAGGGGGGTTGGACTAGATGACCTCTAAAGATCCCTTCCCACCCAAAACATTCTATGATTCTATGTGGCACAAGAGTCCTTGTGAAATCCTCACTCTTGCAATTGGTAAAACATACACATTTATGGAGAAGTTGGCAGAAGGAAATTGACTATTTTAAGAACAATAAAAAGATGGTGATGAGCTATCAGGTTTCATCACTATTCTCATTTCCATGAGAAGACAAATCTTCCCAGATGACAAAGATGCAATAGGAATCAAGATCTGATCACAGTCATTATCAAATTATTACTGGAATAAGAGAAGTAAACCTGACAGGATTAGTAACATGGAGTTCTTGATGCACTTTTCTTTGTTTCCTTTTCTTTTTTCATCCAGCAAATATTTTAAAACCCACAATTACTTTTTGGTGTTGTTGGTACTGTTTTGGTGACTTGCACATCATATTTCTGGAGTCTAATTTTTCAGCCACAATAAAGGGCATAACCTGACTGAGATTGATTATGCTGTCCCAGTTTCTCTCAGATGACACACTGGGCCATAGCTGAGGACAGTATGTAAATATATGAATACATATATATATAGCTTCCAGTGCTGCATATCTGATCTTTCAAAGATATCCCTTTAGCAAAGACAAAATGATAAGAATAGTTACTGATACAAGAAGCCAAACCCTCTTTATAATAAAAAGGAAGGCTTTTTTGAGTAGATGGATGGCCATTTAGTTTATTAACTCTTGAATAAATACACTATAGTCCTGGAACAAAAAAAAGACAGTAATGTCTCATTAAGAATATTATCTTCTTTTGCATTATAAGACCCAATGGTAAACTGTAACGGAATATGCTGAGACTTATGAGGAGCGGCTGAGGCCACTTGGTTTGTTCACCTTGGACAAGAGAAAGCTGGGGGGTGACCTCATCGCAGTCTACAACTTCCTCAAGAGGGGAAGTGGAGGGGGAAGTGCTGATGTCCTCTTTGTGGTGATCAGCGATAGGACACAAGGAAATAAAATGAAACTGTGTCAGGGGAAGTTCAGACTGGACATTAGGAAAAGGTTCTTCATTCAGAGGGAATTGATCACAGCACCAAACCTGTCAGAGTTCAAGGAGTGTCTGGATGATGCTCTTAGTCATACAGTTTAGTTTTAGGAAGTCCTGCAAGGAGCAAAAAGTTGGAGTCAGTGATCCTTATGGGTCCCTTTCAAATCAAGATACTCTATGATTCTATGATTGTAAGCAACGCGAGCTAAAGGAACAGTTTGTACACTCATCACAAAGTTACAACGGGAATTGTAAGCTCTCCAACTTTTTCAATTTTCCTCCAGATGTAATTGCAAGACAATTTCAAGTCAATTAACTGTAAAAATCTGGTAAGATATAGACCTGACTCTCCCATCTGACAAAAGCTGAGGAAGAGTATAAGAAACAGCACTGATAAATAACGTCCTTTGAAGTGCCTTAGTGGTTTAGGGATGTCTTGTGCCAGAGAGTTAATATTTCTAATTAGTCAAGAATAGCCTGGAAGTAGGAACTGCTAAGCAATTAACTGTGGGCATAAATCCCATCAGGAGTTAAGCACAGGCAAGCTTCTGGTGAAATCCAGCCCTTCTTGAAATTGAAAGCAAAACACACGTATTGATTTCAGCATCATCATCAATGTATTGACTGCGCCATTTACCAGTTCATCAGCCATTTTGCCCTCAATCTCTTTGCTTTTCTCATCCTTAATGCATTCAGTGTGAAGTTCATCTCCCATTTCATGCTGGAAAGGTGGTGTGACCGGTGGCTTTTTCAATTCACAAGAGCAAAATTTTGAGAGTTTCAACTGATAGCCTAAAACCATGGCTAAATTCATCTAGTGTCTCCTGCAGCGAGGTGGCATGGTTGCAGTGAGGTAACACCAGCCTTGGCTGCGAAGAAATCTTCACTGCTTGTGGCCTTTGGAACTGAAAAAAGTTAAAACCAAAACGGAACAGGGTGAACTTAATAACGATGTCACCTGAGAAATCATTCCCTGTGACACTGCATAGATTAAGGACCCTGTGCTGGGATTAAAAGGGCTGGTGGGCTTGTGTCATGACTGCTTTCAACTAAAACTTGTTGTCTTTTAGTTGTTTTTTTGATGGCAACATCCAGAAAGTCTCTAAATGTTTAAAGGAAAAGTGAAATGTGTTATAGATTTTTCTCAGTCTTTACACTAGAAAGAGTTATGTGCAACATTAAGCTTAAATTGATTTTCACTGTTTGAGCACTAGCCTGGACAGTGGGTCTAATTAGTATCTGTAGTTATTTAAATAACAGTATTGAATGCCCAGGTTGCAACAGTTCCCATCTTGGCTTAGAGTTATGTTTTGTTATGGGAAGACTTCTTGTGCTTCTGAGAGATTAACTTACTGGGGAACTTTAAACATCGAACACAATTTGCTTTTTTTATTTAAGCTGTGATAGTTTTGCCTGGGTACTTAGCTTAGAAACAAGCAATGAAAGCAGAAGCTGAACCACAGAGAGACCTGGCTGCCAAAACCCGCATCTCATGGGAACCATACATCTATATTTATAAAGGGATTAAATTTGCCATTATCCTTTGTTAATAAACTTGGTCTTTGGATGTCTTTTCCAGCAGCTTTGTGCAAAGCAGACAGAAAACTGGCCTGAGTGGTACCTGTGGATCATCAGGAAACGCAAATCCACTATCGTCTAAATCACACCTTTCTCCATCCTCTGTATTTTGGGTCAGAAAAACTGGGAGGGCTGTGGGTCACTACTTTATGTTCACCCAAGAAAACAGTCCCACGGGAGCTGGCACATGTGAAATGAAGCAGTGGAATGAGAGCAGGCAGCCACTTGCCTCACCCTGTGTTGCACTCCTCAGCAGGTTGAGGGTTATTTGGCCAGTACTTTCATTTAGGGGGAAAAAAAAAAAAAAAAAGTTGTGCACGGCTATTACATACTCACTGCCTTTCAGAGTGAGGAAACAAGCCGGATTTATAACTAAAGACTTCTCACCTAATCCTTCAGCTTCTGAGTACCCTCAGTTCCCACTGAGGGCATGTGAAGTGCAGGAGTGATAGCACCTTGCAAATGTACGTAAGAAAGAGTATTCAGGGGTTGCAAGCTCAACAAAAGCAGTGACAGAGCTTCGGTACAGGGGTAACAACAGGGATGTCACACGTTTTCCTTATGTTGTGGTTACATTTACTTTCTGAACGAGTCATATTTAGATTTTTTTTTTCTCTCCACAAATCATTATGGAATTATAATGGTAGAAAAGTGTAATTTCAGCCTCTCTGCTTTGAGTGATGTTCCTCTAATTTGCAATCACTTAATTAAGGTCTGACATGGCTCAGCTATTCTTTACACTTATAGTGGTTGGCCATCTGGGCTTCACTAATAAATAAGCACTTTAATGGCTGAACTACTTAATAAACTTTCAGTGAGACGAGAGGGAAATTAAGTCAATTCTTTCATTATGAAAACATGCTGTGCCATCTAATTGTTCAAAAGCAGATGTCACTCAAATTCAATTAAGCTGTTTAATGACCTGCGTGCTTATTACTAACTTGACTGAAGGTTTGACACAGTTAAAGTAAATACAAATGGCTAGTAAGATTTTAGCTTTTCACGGTTCTGCTTTTTGCTACTTCCCCAAAATATCCACTTCAATCTGTGGGTTTTGTCTTATGATACATGACAAATTTGCACTGCCTGGTCTGAAATCAGGCTTTATGCAAATTGTTAACAAACATATTTTTCTTATTTTCACTTCCAAATGTGTAGTTTTGGTCTCACAAAGAATGTGTCAAATGATTCAAATGTGAGGCAGTCACAAATGTTGCTGGTTAGATAGACAGCAGAGCTCCCCAAGCAAGACCTTCGTTTAGTAATTTAGCTTTTTTTTGTTAGTGACAGATTGGGAGAGATATTAAGGCTGCTTTTTCTCTGTAAACAGTTTCTTATAATATGCCAAGTTTTAGAAGATGTTAATGAAATCTATATGTAAGTTCCTCCTGGATTATTAAGAAAAAGACATGTAATACTCACTGATGATTTAGATGTTATTCAGCACTTCAGTTTTTGTAATGTGCTTCCCTCTTCCTTGTTTCCCTCAGCCTCCTGACTTTTTTAATTAGCTGATTATTGCTTAGTACATATTATTTACACAAAGTTCAGAAAGGATTATCTCTGTTCCAAACTTAAATCCATGTTGCAGATTTCATGGCCACATACGCATTATGAGGTGGTTCACCCAGTCTTTCCTGACAGAAATATCAAGTTGTGTTGATTAGATGTAGGTCATCCTGGCTATGCGGTGGTATAGACTTAAAGAAATTCTACAGATGCTGTGCCTCCCACAACAACGTGTACATGGCATAACTGTTGCCGTGCTGCATAACTTAACCTCACAGTATTCACTGTCCAAGTCCTTTTCTTGACCTTGCCATGGGCAGTAAGGTCAGTTCCAACTGGTCAAAGCAAACATTTGTAGGAAAGTTCTATGCATAGCTAGCTCTGCCTGGGGGTGGGAGAAGGTCTAGATGGCCTTTTACATCTGGTTTTCCACTGGATCCTGTGCAAGTATCTATTTATTATATGCAAATTAAGTTTTTCAGATATGCTGATAATTCCAAATTGCTGAAGTAAACCTTGATGCAGATGCTGTGGATGAATGGCTTCCTGCTACGGAGTGAGAAGCCTATCCTTCAGACTTTCATCTCAGGTCAAGGCTCTCTTGATTTCCAGACACCATGAAGGGAAGCAGACAACCTGGGAGCCCTGGAGGCCCGGAGCCGTCCACATGGTGATGTAGCCCTAGAGCAATAGACCCTGAAAAACAAGGCTCTTCAGCATCTGGTGCTTCCAGGAAGCTGGCAAGCCTCCAGCTGAGCATTGCCTATGTTCCAGCAGAAGGGTTTGAATGAGATGTGTTTCTTCAAAATATTTGTGTTTGGACTTAGTTGTCATTTTCCATTTCATGAAGCAATTTTTAGCCTGCTTTTGCCACATCACAGCCCATGCTTTTGCTGGGTCAACAACCCACAGCAGCACTTCTTCTGTCCATTTCTCTGTCCTTGTAGAAATATAGCGCTACCTGGAAAGCATTGCTCCACACTCTAATTCTTAAATGTGTCCATGTGTTTCAGACAATAGCCAAAGGTACTCTTTGAGTAAGCGCTTTGCCACATGGATTTTGAGGCCATTGCAATTGTTTGGGGTTTTTTAACTGTCTGTAAACAGTTTGGACTGGAACTCACCTCATTTGTGCTTTCCCATGTTCAGAAGTCATCCATCTGTGTTAGGAAGTAGGTACATTTATTTGCTTATCAATGTCTAAAAGCAAACTTGTAATTGTGAGGACTTTACAGTTCAGGCAGGGCTAAAACTTGTGACGTTGAAAATATTTTAAGCTTCTCTGAAGGCAAATACAGATTTTTTAATTTAGAAACATGAAAGAGCATAGCCAAATGCAACTCACTTGACAACCAAATACCAGAGATTTGCTAGAAGCCCTTCTAAAAAGCTGTAAGATGCAAAAAAATCAGGAGCAAAAAATCCAGTGACTCCATCACTGTATAACATTTTCCTTCACCTTCTCAGCTCTGTGGCTACAGTCATCAGCTGCAATTCACAAGCTTTTTTGGAAGGTGAATCACAAGCACATAAAATACAATGTTGTTCTCTTTTCCTCCATCTCCTCTGTTCTCTCTATTTTGTACCGTTTATACTTCAGTGAGCTTCTCTGATGTTTAGCCAATACAATTCTACTGGATTATTCTGGGACACAGATGCTCCTTAAGAAATCTGCTTTTCTTTCCTTGGTTATATTCTACTTATATGTACTCATCTGGTGAAGTCTCACTTATACAAACTCATCTGTGTGAAATCTCACTCTTGCCTACTTCAGATTTCAATATAACAAGGGTCTTTTATTAGGGCAAGGCTACCCACATCTTAAAAAAGATGATGCTTTCTGCACTGAAACTGCTATAATTATTCAGAGGAATCAGTCTTTCACTTGGGGTATTTCACAGGAAAAGGTAAACGTGTCCAGCCAGTGCCGACAGCTGAATGAAACCCACGTTGGCATGGTTAGTGCAGTTCTGAGCTTGGTCTGATCATTCACTGCACTAACATATTCCTGGGGCTTTTGGCCAGCTCAGAGTAAGGGTGATGTATAGCCTGTGAAGCACTGTAAAACACTGTGTGTTTTCAGTCTGAAGAGAAGGGCTGATATTATCTAAGAATATTATTTTTGAAAACCACTCTGAAATTAATAAGAGAGAATTTTGAAACTTGAACAGATTTCTAAAGTTCCTCCAACACAACAGATTTTAAGAACTAACCAGAAGTTAAACCAGAAAATAAGTACAAATACTTTGTCATACACTGCCCAAGGATTGCCCTGTCTATTTGATCTTTCTAGCTGTGGTTACACGTCCCTATATGCTCATCAGCAAATCCAGCTTAAGAAGTTGCCTCCACCATTTCTGTTACTTATTTCCACACCTTCTTAGTTCTGGTAATCCAACTTTTTATGTGACTGTTTCCACAGCTGTACTTGTGGAATAACATAGTCTAAAGTGATCACTTTCTTTTATTTTAAGAAATATTTTGTTTAGGCCAAGACATTTAAAAATTGGATTTTTTACAATTGAGAGAGCTGCCATGCTCAAATCCAGAGGAGATGATAACCTTTTGGAGAGAGGATGTAGGAGAACACAGCTGGATGCAAATATAAATCTGGAAGTGGATTTGCTGCCAATAAAATTGCAGCTTATGTTGGAGATAAAGCTGCTTCCCTCTAACTAGTAACTCACTGTAATTTAAAAAAGGAAAATTCTCAGT